GACAAGACTGTCCCACACGAGCGTCTTCCAGAAGTGTGGTACAAGAGTGTCTCAGAGGAGCGTTCCAAGCCAGCGTAAGCGTGAGTATCATCAAAGGTTGTCTCAGAATGTCTTCCAGTGGGTTTTAAGTTTCAAGAGAAGACGGTTCTCCAAGAGCAAGAGTAGGCTCTGTCCAACAACAGTGTCATATGAGCGTCTTACAAAGGCAGCGAACAAAAGCAGGAGCGTCCCACACCGCCAGGTGTTGCACAAGAATGTCCGCAGAAGCGACCCACAAGGCTTGCCTACATCTCCAAATGTCCAACACTCAGTGATCTCAGAGCATGCCATAGCGGTTTGGAGTCTTGAAACAAGATGAAGACTCTTGACTTCGTTGGGCCTGGTGGCTTTGACCCAGGAGGGTTGGAAGATTCAATCGTAACGCCTGGACATGGATCCCCAAAAACCAGCTGAGTTACACATTGATCGGAGAGTGCTCACTGCTTCCTCAGCAATGCTTCTAAATTTCAGCTCCATATCGTCACCGGAGTGTGCCCCGAAATGTTAAATTCTCTCTATCGCTTGTCTTACCAGCTATGAAGACAATGGCCAGAAAGGTCTGACAACGTGTGTCTAACCGTCCATAAGTATAAATTGAACTGGAGATGAGTTCTTTCTAAGTCCTCGATGGAAACGTGATTTTTGGTGAGACGAGCCGCTTTCTGCTCTAAGCTCTGTACTCTTGAAATGGGCAATGCGTGTTTTGGACAGGTTTATTTGCTTGAATATCTATGAAGGCAGTAGAGAACTTCCTGCAATATGCAGGCGGCGGCAACAAATCACATTCTGGTAGAGGACTGAGAATGACTCTAGGCCTCTCATCAAGCATCATGAACCCCAAAGGGATCCTCCCCTGTCTGCGGGATGGACGTCAAGTTGAAGCTTGACAGAAGAAATTTACCCTCCCTCAGACAATCATGGAAGCCGAGCACACATACAAGGCAAACACATATAAACAGCCCCAAACCTGAGCAAGAACAAATGGACTGACATATGCATGTGGAGGCTGCGTGGCCATCTGAGGAGGCAACAAACAGAAAGCCGATGAATTGACTACAAAGACTCCTTTGAAGAGGCAGTACCTTGGACCCAATGCAGCGTGAAGTACTACTCAAAGGCGTTGCGCGCAATCACCTGCAAATTTATACTTCCTACAATACTTCGATGGCTTTTGGTGTGGGTGTGCCTGGCAGTTTTCATGTACCGACTGTGTGTTTTGCACCGTCTCCAAGCTTGGCAGCAAAGACACCACTTTGGCCATTTCTGTTGCTCCAAGACTGTGCAGGAGCTTCAGACTTGCTTTGCAGAAAGCATCGAAGTCTGATGCGCCGACAATTTGGCAGCTTAAGGCTTGTGTGAAAGAGTTGATGTTTTTGCCGATTTCCAACGCAAAAATGAGCTGTGCACTATGCTGGCTGGTTGCTTGGCACACAGCTTTGGCCTTGTTCAAACTCGACGAGACTCGCCACCACCAAACAAAGTTGTCTTGCATTCCGTTTCGTGGATTCCACAGGTCTTTCTGCCAGATGTTGCGCTACCCATTCTGACCTATTTCCTCCATATCCCTCAAACTGTTGTTGTTTTGGACTCATTGGAAATGAATTCGGTTCCTCAGCTGTAAAAAAAGAGCAGTAGTTGAAAGGGTTGCGCTTGCGAATCACTGTCCACAGAAATGCTGCTGTCATGTTGCTTTCGTTTTGGCTACCATTTTGATCAAAACACCTCAACCGAACCGGAGCAATACTCTGATGAAGAAGAGAGCCAGGGCGCTGGCAAGAATGCAGGCGAAAATGAGAGGATGTTTGTTGTGCTAGGTTCCGCAATATTCTCGGTCAAAACAAATTGGTTCAAAACATGACTCTGGGCGTCATTTCTGAAAATCATCCGGTTTATTGCTTTTCTGATCCGTAGCTTTGTTTGGTTTAGAGTCCTTAGAGTTTTTCAACATTCCAGATGATGTGCCTAGATCTTGGCTCAAACCTCTCGCTTTCAAGCTGCATTCAACGAAAACTGCCAGTGAAGTTGCTATTGCAAGCTGGCACTTCTATGGATCCCGCCTTCCAAAACGTCGAGAAGACAACGGAGCGCCTGGATGTGCAGCCACTGTATCTAGGCTAATCGCTTCTGGTTGAAATAGTTCTAGCAAATGAGAATGTGAAAAAGGACAAAGGCTCCTTTCCAAGAGAGAACACTTTCAAAACCTTCAACAGATTGTACCCTCAAAGGTCTCAAAGCTCAAAAGAAATCATGAACCAAGTGAACCCCTGCACTTTGGTCGGAATCTTCTAACAACATCTACAAGCAAGACTCAAGATTGACCATTTTGGCCTCCTTATCCTGCTCGTCAACTTCCCAAGCCAAAGGCTGCTTTTCAATAAGCCGCATTAAACGCACGAGTTCCTGGCGAACACTCGCAAGACCACATCAGCATTTCTCCCGTTTTTTACCTTGCTAAGCCTTGCTACCTTTTTCCGACCTCGTCAAACTGAGAGCCTTCACCGTCTGATTGGCCTGCATGATCACTGAGAAGGAAAATGCCTCAGAGCTCAGACTCCATATCAATCTTCACATCAATCTTGGCAAGATGTGTTTCTCAAGCCATATGTTTGCCACCTCCTTCTTCTTTTTGACGAGATGCTGGTACATAAAGCTCGAGGTATGCACCAGGTGTCAGTGTTGCGCGGCGCAGGCAACCAACCAATGAGCAGCACGGCGCATTGTTCTTTGTCGGACCTGGCTGAGTTCATGTATGTTCTTCTCATCTCATCCCACAACGACGACCGCGACGCGATCGAAGAGCGCCAACAAAAAGAATGGAGGAACGTCGCACCTCACGGCTCTGTGGAAGTCCTTGGGTCGCGCCACGCCCAGGATGAGAAGGCCTCACGTGGACAAACACCGTGCTTGGCTGAGCGCTGAAACTGAAATCAAAAGAAGCAGTGAAGCTGACCATCTTTGCTTCGCCTTGCTTGGCTGCGAATAAACAAGACATTGGTGGGTTAGGCGCAAACAAAGCCTGGACTTGTCCCTCCGTGCAACACCATGCAACCAGGCGGCCAAATTTGCTGCGAGCTTGTTCCTGTAAAGTTGCTTCTCTCAATGCTGCGCATGTCACCTCGCAGCTCATCAGAAATTGTATTCTCTTGGAGGGCCCTCAGTCACTGAAAATCAGGATCTTAGGCAGGTCACCGAAATGTCGCGCACCAGTCCTGCACTTCCAAGCTCCAGGTTGGCGCGGAGAGACTTGAAAGACTGCCTAAGACTCCATCTCAACTCACTACCAGTAAGACTCCATGCTGAATGAGTATCTCAACCTATCAATGAGTGAAGATGATGCCAACTCACTGACTGTCAATCTAAATATATCGATACAAAACCTATCCAGTTGGATCATGCTTCTCTGTCAACGCCGATGACAAGGCGCCCAGTTGGAGAAACTCCATGCTCTTCCCACACAGAATCGATGCTCCTCAGTGTGGGGTAATTTGGGGGTATCCCCTTTGGCGCTACTACCGCACTTTGGTGTTGCTAATGCCCCCTTGACAGGCATACGGTTTGCTGAAGGAGGGGGCAGTAGCTTCGAACCTAATAGCAATGGCCTCCTTCTTCCTGGTAGCTTTCCTTCTGAAACCTGTGATTTTTCCTGCGAGATCGAGGCCATGACCCCCGAACGACCACGAAGGACGGCACATCGACATCTGGATGCAAATGCCGATGCGATGACCAAACCTCGTGCAACACACGACCAGCCAAACCAAGCTGAAGTGAAAGAAAGGAACACAACCACCCAGCTGAGTTGGACAACTGCAAGAAAGCGTTGCAAAGAAACGGATCTATTACGACCCCATTCAAGGCGTATGGTGAACAAATAGTTTGCAATAACCAGTGTCTTGCAGTATGCATCTTTTTTGTCGGCTAGTCCAAGCCGTGAATACCCGTGCTGTTTTCCACAGAAATACCCACCGGAATACCCATGTACACAAGTGTGCACATTTTGCGCAAAAGCATGTCAGGGCTTGCAAGCTTGTCAAAGCATTTTGGAAACTTGGGTCGCATGTGATGCGGACCTTGATTCGCGTTGCTGGGATGTACATTGAAGGAACTCTAATCAAACGTGCGCACATTCCTCTGGCAATTCATCAGGCTGTATTTTCGGAAGCATGCATTTCAGTCAAGAAGCCTTCCTTGGCCAAACGTTCAGGATGCTGTCTTCGGCAATGCGGCTCAGCATGGAGTATACATCTGCAGGGGATGCAGCCCCTTGCCCTCCGCGCAATGGCTTTCAGGCTCAAACTGTTGCTCTCTGAGAGCTCAAAATGAATACGTCAAGAACCACCAGCGGACAGTTACAAGGAACTCTGAAAAACTCACAAGAGCTTAATGACCACGGGCAAAGCATGTGGGAACCTAGACCTCGTGCAACTGCAAATTCGCTTGCGCAAAGTGGGAACCAAAGAATCCCCGGCCTTGGCCTTGCTTCAGAAACACACATGGCAAGTCTTCATTGCTGTGAGGAAGTCGAGTTGGCGCCTTCGAACCTCAAGCATTTGAATAGAACCTGAATTGAGCTGATCATCTGACTGAAGGTGGCACAACACGGTATTCCATGATGAGCTTTTCAGACAAGTGGCCGGTGGGTTGGAAGTGAACTCGGCCTCCCACTTGGAAGGAAGCCACGTCAGGACCGGTCCAAAATGGACTGCTGCCCTGACTTGGGATCGGTCGAATCAGTTGGAACGTCTTCTCATCCAGACAGGCCACACAAGTGGCGGTTCCTGGATGCGTCTTAGCGACCACTACACCCAACATTAGCGGAAAAGGTGGACAAAACCTTGAGCCAAACAGCTACAAGGCACAAAAGGTTGAAAGGCTGCTTCTGTCTCGAAGACAATTTTGTAGTCAAAAGCTAGCATCGACAGCACAACAGAAAATTCAAATTCGAGCAAGTTCAGGCGCCGGGCAATTGCTGAACTCCAGCAGCGCCTGGCAAGGATCACATGTGGAGGAGGGGAATGTTCACACATCCACTGCACCCACAACGCGACGGAGGCGCTCGCTGGTCAGATGGGGCGATCGGCGAGACCATCTCGTGGCGCTGAGGCTCCTTTTGAGCGTAGGGAGATGACAGGCGGTCTTCCAGGGATGGCGGAGCCGGTAGCACCTGAGCAAACGGAGAAAGGCCCATGAAGCGAACTGGGTCAGAATTGGAACTTCCAATTCGTGATTGTTTTTTATAAGCCTTTTAGACACAAGTCTACAGGCTCACCTGTTGGCCCCACCCTGCAAAATACAGGCAGTATATTGTTCACAAAAGCGAACATTCCGATTGTTTGTGTCCATTTGTCTGCGCACACCCACACCACTGAGTCTCCCATGCTCGTACAAGGTCATGGGTTGCCAACCTCATCCGAGCAAGGGCCGTGTCTGAATGAATGTGTATGCTGGGATGTGGTATTGGTGACTACAACAGCTGCAGCACTTCAGCTTGGTGGCCGTGAAGAAGATTCTTCAGGGCGAAGCTACGTAACTTTCCTCCCCACTTGAAGTGAGAACAAATGCAATGAAGGGGGTATGTTTTAGAGAGGTTAACGCATAAGTCCGCATGGCCATCAAATGCTAAGCAAGATTGCAAAGCAAAATGCACCAGGTTTCAAGCGTACTTTCCGACAAAAAAAACAGATTGCCCTGAAAGATTCATATACTCGTCTTCCTTCCCAGTGTCCAAAGAAAGCTTCAAATCCAGAAAGATCCCACAAGTGAATCTCTGACAAGTGCAGGGGCACGCGCCATGCTGGTGATCGGCGAAAGATGTGATAGCTGGGATGCCTGGCCATCTGGAGCAAGTCACCACGGTGAAATTCGTCGTCAATTCCGCCGTGACCTTTGGAGCACTAAGCTACTGTGCACATAACCTTGCAAAAGGTAAAAGCAAAGAGCTATTCAGACAAACAGGTCATGGCAACAGGTATCGAGTTGGTTTTCATACATTCGCACACTACTGAGCGACAATTCCAAATGTCATGGAACTTGACTAACCATTGCTGACATACCCAGCTTCAGCTTACGACAAATCCTTTGAGTCTTGGGTCGGGGTACCTTTCACAAATGTCCCACATGTTCAGAGCCCCAGCCTCCTGAGCACCATACCTAGGCCTCACCTGCCAACAGGTAGACTATATAGCCAACCAATGTGTTTCAATTCTCTCTTGAAGACTGACTCCCCTCAGAAGTCACTTGAGGAGGCAGGAAAAAAGGGACCAAAGCGCGTCACAAACACTGTCGAACACACACTCGCGTCACAAATCTTGACATGTCACAACCTTGACGTCGCCACTCGCCACACTCACCACAAAATCAAGACTTCCCACAGTTCTTCTGATTGAAAACTTCTGCCCACCCGCCTGGCCAGAAATTGCCTGCTACTTGCCTGGCCCGGCCACAAGTGGCCGCAAGTTAGTCATAGAGTCATGTTCACAGGTCCTGGCTTGCGTCCTCTTCTGGTAGAAGCTCTGAGTGGGTTTACGCATGTGTTTCTTCCGGGTTGGCCCTAGGCCTCCACGCTCAGCACGCTCAGCTTTGGCACTTGCAGCATGATGCCTCACAGGTCGCAGCTGACCTTGCAACACTTGCACAATGGATGGCATAAAGCACATAAGAAAGGATAACAAAGGAGACCTTGGAACCGGACTTCAATACATCGAGACATGTCAACGGAAGCTTCCCGGTGGGCATGTTCCTTGTAGCCACACTTGGTTCATTCTGGCATCGGACCTGTCACCTTCGATGAAATGCGAAGACAAACACTTTGGTTCGCTCATCAAGACTTTCAAACTCCCACCGGTCCCCTCAGCCGGGACGACTGTGACGAGTGGTGACGACTGTGGTGAACCGTTTCTGTTTAAATGCAAGCAAGGGCATTGCCAACCTGATGAAAGAGAATCTCATGCCACCGGCTTCCATACACCATGTTAAGCAGGAGCGAAGACAAGAAGCGTTCGAGCGCAAAGTTGTGACGAGTCGGGCCCAGCCATCGATGTGCAAGGCGAGGCGGAACAGCTGCGCTGTTAACAGACCTTTCAGAAAGAACAGGAAGGAAGGAAGAGGAACACCTACTAGCGATGGTCTCCAACCTACTAGAAGAAAGGAAGAAAAAATAAAGGTCCAAAGAAAAGGAAAAACACATCCACATCTACTCCACTCGATGAAATCAGCAAGCAGACGGGTCGGGGACTCCCCTTGCCAGGAACAAGCGGTTCTAGAGGGGCAAGTCAAGACCTATATATACCGGTTCAAGAAATCAATGCAAGACAGTTCTACTTGCCACTCCTGGCAATACGATTGCACCGACACACATCTTGCCCCAAAGAATCAAACCATCACATTGCCCGGTCCAGTGTTCGTTCCAGGTCCACTCCTTCCACCAGCTCTTTTTCACCATGACCTGTCCTTGCCACGAGCATTTGGAGAGTCAAGTAGGCCCAGTGGCCCAGACACATCCACTCATCGCCTAGCGACAGCTACCCCGCTGTGGGCGCAGCCGGCGAAGCCTCACAGCCACTATTGGTTCTGAGACAAACTTTTGCCGGCGCGTTCAAATGCTCGAAGAGATTTTGTGGAGTTTCCGGATCAAACTCCAGAAAAGTGTTTTTCACTTTGAGATACTCTACGGGCATATCGGACGTGACCGAGCTGACCCCCTCAGGGTCTCCTGAGCTGACCCCCTCGTTCGCATTGCTCAACCACAACTTCAAAACGGAGTTTTTATCTTTGAGGTCCAGGGCCTCAGTCCAACTGCTCTTCTGAAAGGTGGTTTTCTCACCATCCTCGTCCTTGTACTCAAAAACTGACTCGGGTGGGATACGGTAGCGGTGGCGGAAGTCGGCAACAATCTTGCTCACCACTGGCCATGTCTCCTCGAACGCATCAAGGACTTCAAATTTCCCATCAGGCTTCTGCAGCTTAAGTTTCAACAAAACGCCTTTCTCTTCCACTTCCTTCTCTTCCTCTTCTTGTTCTTTCTCCTCTTCCTTCTCTTCGTCCTGTGGAGGACTCTCCAAATCATGTGGAAGGGTTGCCTCATCTGGGTACGCATAGGACAATGAACCCATCATGTCTAGAGGCGACAGCGGCAGGGGCCACCCGGACGGCCCTATGGGCCCTTGCATGGCGGGAAAGATCATCTCTGATCCCAAAGGCATCGAATAGCCATCCATAGGCAAGCCCGGCCAGGGGACGCTCCAGCCAATCTCATTCCACAAGCTGGGAGGATAGGGCATTGGCAAGGGAACTCCTTCAAATCCACGATGCTTCGGTTCGAACTTGCTCTTCCTCTCTTTGCGCTTTCGCCTGCGATCCGCCACACTGGGATCCTTTTGGAACCGAAACTCCTTGGGGTCGAAGCACCACATTTCGCTCACGAGGCTGCTGAGCAAGTCTTGAAACTCCTCTCCCATCTCATAGTATGGTTTTGAGGCAACCAAACAGTCTTTCTGCAACTTGATGGGGCTTTCCAGGAAAATGATCGCCTGTGCTAAGTCTGACTTTTGCATGAGCCAGCGCGGATAAGCTTGGGAGGATATCGAGGTTCCTTTCTTCAAAAGAACTTGCATCCACATATCTCGAACCTCTGGCTGCTCGTCCTTGCAGTACTTGTTCAAATGATCCTGGATGACTTCCCTCTCGCTCTCATTGCTTGCCTCAAGCTTGCGCAAAAAGAATGCCTCCTCCCGCCAGTCTCCAAACCTTTCGTGACACATTTCATCGAGTCTGTCAATCTCATCTTGCTTTTCATTCTTGTTGTTGAATCGGATGAGGTAGATGGCCAAAGGGTCAATTTGGCATGCTTTTTGGCATGCAGGACGAAGCTGATCGGCCACTTCCTTCACGAAGGTGGACTGTTCGTCGATTAAGGTCTGCGCGTCTTTGTCTAGGATAGCACCTGAGGGATCAAGCCTAGCTGAAGAGCTCAAGTGACTCAAGTGGCTCTCTCTCCCTTACCGGTTTAATGGGAGTTTGTCAATCAAAAAAACATGCAGTCACTGGACTCTTGAGAGCATTCTAAAACTCCAAGAAACTCTTGAGGGCTTGGATCAGCTCAGACAATTCGCTATCTCCGTCTGCATCCAAAGGCCCACTTGCAAGGCGTGGTGCACGTTCACGTTCAGCACCAGGCCGCGCCATGGCCGTCGCGAGCGAGCCGTGTGCTGCGATGTCGCACGAAGTGCCGAAGTGCCGACCTTCTGGCCTTGCTTCACTACTAATAGCAAGGACGCTACGAACGGGGCTCCTGGCCTTACTACTAGGAACAAGAAGCTACGAGTAACAAGGGCATTACTAGTAGCTAGTAGCTAGTAACTAGTAGGGTGGAGGCCATTGCGCTCAGGAGGGTTGACTCACAGCAGTGCATGGAACCAAAAGCAGTTGAAAACTGATCTGCCAAGGGCCAGGCACCTCTGATGTACCTGGACGGGGTTCGGGCCAAATGTGCCAAGCATTTTGAGTTTCACCAAGATTTTACACTTGTTGTCTATGTAGGCTGGTCGGTCCGGGGGTCATTCTCTTTCATCTTCGCCAAAGATCTCGATGCTCTGTCGGCGTTCGGGGAGAAAAACACACAGAAAACACCGTCTCGTCGTCACGTTCATCGGATATTCAATTCCATTCTCGCTGCCTTAGACCTCCAAATCACGAATCAAACAAACGTCAAATCCTTAGACCTCCATCGAGTGAGCTCATGGTTGATATTCGTCATAACTGGGCTTGTCACGACAAAGCCAACGAGTCACGAGTCTCCTCCATCGACCAAGCCTCCGCCTCATCGACCTAGCAGCAGCTCGGAACAGAAGCGGAACAAGTCTCCACACGATTTTCTATGTCACAGTCTGTGCATCTGTCTGCCATGGTCTTTCAATTCGTGAAAGCCATGAAGCTTCACTTATAGCTTTATAGTTTCCATATCAAAAACCTAATTCCGAATCAAGAAAATGTGCCGTGACGTGGCTATACATTTAAACACCAGCCAACAAGCTAGGAAACAAACCAAAGGGTCGAACGTGCACCTCTCTCCAGTCCAATACACGCGTTTTCCACCAGAGAAGCTCGCATCAAGAGGAGTGGGGCAACTAATGACAATCCAATCCATTCATGGATCAGGCCGATCTCAGAAACACACACACACACACACACTATTCCGTGCACTCAAAATCACTGGTGCACGCCAAGGAAACTGATTTGACAAGTGCAAAGGCAGTGTGGTAATTGGTTGGGTGTGTTCTTCAAGTATGGCGATTGGTTATCAGCACAAAAATGCCAATATAGATCCTAAACTCGCAAAAACATCAAAAACAAATAAAGTGACTCCCGAGCTAAAGGGTCAGGAAGCCACAGCGAAC